GAAGTGGAAGACGGTCGGGCGGATGACGGCAATGGTCCGGGGAGGCGTCATCGCGGCACTCGGCAGCCTGACGAGACGTGTCCCGGCAGGCCGCAGTTGTAGCACACAACGAGCCCGCTCCCAGGACGAGGAGATGTCTTCTGCCGTCATTGGCCGTCCGTCCGTCGCACGTCGCACCATGCCGTCCCATCACTCGCCTCCGCTCTGGGTCGACGTGCAGGCTGGGACGGGTTCCACATCTTCAGGTGTATCCGTCCCCTCACGGGGCGTGGTACACGCCGCCAACCCTTTGTGCCGTTGCAAGAGCTGTTGAGCCTGGATGCATCTTGCAACCTTGATCGACGAAAGGTCGTCGTCTACGGGCGGCAGGACGATGTTGAGGTCCTTAGCCAAAGCCAAAAATCTCTCAAGGGCCAGCGAGTCGACTCCGTCGTGGTCCATCCTCGGAAAGGCAGCCTTCGCTCGCGCCAAAAGTGCACTACGGAAGGTGAGGGGCGTCTCGGTTCCCCCTCTCCTTCGCGTAGCGAACTTATGGTGCACGTTCGACGGCGGCTCCTAAATTGCCGCCATTTGGTCAAATGCTTGAGTCAGCGTGGCCCTCTCCGACGGCGGGATGGTGATAAACGCCGCCAGGGCGCCGTCATCAAGAGCGGCGGTGTAGTATATAGGCATATATGCCTACACACCATCCATACAATAGAGTCCGTAGATACTACTAACGCCATTGTAGTTACTAGGCATATATGCCTACACACTCTACATACAAGAGTCAGTAGTACTGAGTATCTACTGACTATCGTATCTACTGACTATAGTAGTATCTTTTGACTCTATAGTATATAGAGTATGTAGGCATATAGGCCCACTGGGGTTTGTAGCTCTCTTGTTTTTAGAAGTAGTATCTGCACACATTGGGGGGGGAGGGGGGGAAGAGGACATCAGTGGGGGGGGGGGGGGGGCGACTGGCCAAGCGCAAAGTGCCCCCGCCGCAGGAGCTAGAATAAGGTGGCAGAAATTGAAGTTCATGGAACGTCTCGCATTCGCCACAGCACCACAGTGCATAACCAGAAGCGCCACTTGTTGACGAAGAGCCACTTGTTTGCTCTTCTTGGCGGCCGACCCCTGCACTGGAAGATAAACGACAATCGTGGTGAAGTTACAGAGACGGACAATTTGACGGAATCCCGGTTAACCCAATGAGCTCTGTAGCTCTTCTGGACAGGTGTCCAACCCAAAGATATAAAACAAACACGAGTTTTTATATTAACCAGGTAAGGTCCACTGAGGTTTGTTGCTGACTTGTTTTTAGAAGCGACCTGGCGATCACAAATGAAAGCTCAGGGGGTCTGCAGCCAAAATAACAGCAAGGATTGTTTTCTAGAATTCGGTAAGAAACTCAACATTTCAAGAGCTGCAGTGCACGTGATGGAAGCGGCATGGTGGTGCTCCTTCATGGACAACGTCTCGAAGTGGTTCTCAAAGAGCCGCATTCCAATCCGGAGTCGCAGGTTTGCCGACCCCTGTGATAGCTCAACATAGGGGCCGTCCATAAATGACGTAACGCACCTGGGGGGGGGGGGGTCAGACATTTGTGACGATGTGTGACGAGGGCGGGGGGGGTTGAGAAATGTGACGTCACATCAAAATGCGCAACTTCAAATAAATATAGACAACACGTTCTACTTAATTAAATCGACTTTTTAATACATGTTTTCTTCTACAACATCAGAGTGCAGCGCCACACATTAAACACGCACTACAATGACAATAGTTTAAAGCGATTTGAAGCATGTTTAAAAAAAAATTTGGGGGGGGGGGGGGCAGAGCTTTGTTACGTCATATTTGAGGGGGGGGGGGTGTGGCTTTTTGTGACGCCGTGTGACGAAGGGGGGGGGGGTCAAAAATCGTCCAAAATCGCGTGATGTCATTTATGGACGGCCCCAAAGTAACTTATCATCGCGTGGAAATTTTAGATGTGACTACCTCACCTGGTATACAGGAGATCGTGGGTTCGATCCCGACCCTGATGCCTGTTGTATATTTGGAGTGTGCATGTTTCTCTCCCCGTGGTCGCATGGATTTGTGTCCGGGTCCTCCGACTTTTCCCACCACTTTTAGAATCACCATCACACGTTCAGAGTGTTTGGCTACTGCTAAAATGTCCACGCGGTGATGATCATTTTTTGATCGCCAGGTCGCTTCGGCAAAAAAGCCACACAGCTTGGTGTGCGTTTACCTGGTAAACTGCATGAAACAATCGTACATATCAACCCGATTAAAACGACAGAGTAGCACAGATTAAAAAGCGATAGTTATCAATGAAACCGACGCGATGAGTCATGGCTGCGAGCGGTAATCTAACACCCGCGTGCGTGCATGATACCAGGACGCTGCACCTGCGGTGAATGCGCTGTCACTGCTGTTATTAGATTACTCTATTGTTGTTCCGTGTTGCGTAACGTTACCTGAACAACTCAACTAGGATGATGCACGCAAAGCAGCCGTCATCGCCCCTACTGGCAGAAGGCGAATGCACTGTGACAGCTGCCACAAGGGGTGCCCCTAGGCGAGACCACAGCAGCAAGTCACTTGCAAATGAGGCTCTATCCTTATCTCTGGAAATGTCAGCTGCTTAAAACAAGATTAATTTGACATTGGGAAACTATTTCTACGGGTCTTTGTATATCTATGAACCTGTATTTCTCTCCCTTTATGTGTATCTCTGTATCCATATGCATTTCTCAATGCATATTTCTATATAAATCTGTGTCTCTATCTGTCTCTCTACATCTCTATGCATCTCTATGGGTCTCTGTGTTTCTATGAATCTCTATGCCATATTGGTGACCCAGGTAAGTTGTGCGAATAAGACTTCCATCCTGGTCTCCTGAGTTCTCACATGGTCACACAATCCACCTGGAAACTTTCACGAAATATTTTGTCAGGAAGTTAGACGTTTCGGAACAGCGATACGACCCATCGCTCATCACGTGGCGTTACCTTTTGCTGAACGGAATCGCAATCGCGAATCGTGTGATCGTCACAGCAACGCCAGATGTTTCTTCTGTTGCATTCTCCATGGCGATGTTTGTGATGGCATATTGTCAACCCCTGATCAGGGCCTACCTTATTACAGACCAATTCAGACCTTATTGGTCACTCCGTGCCCTTATAAATCTCAACGTTTATCCTTCAAAGTCCTATCACAAGAGAGAAACACAAACAAATAGACAAAAACTAATTTTTGACCTGAAAACTCAATTTACCTGTACAAGAATACGGGTAAAGCATATGGGTTGACAGGTATGTGATGCTTCTGTGTTTATTGTAGAGTATGTCGTCGAACCGGGACCTACGATTATCAGGGTCAGCGACGTGCGGTGTGAAAGACGCCCACCATACATACCAACATGTCTAGCACGGAGAGAGAGCTCCTACCTGCCTATAAACATCTGGCAGTAGCAAAGGCTGACCCTGCTGATGAGAGACTGTTGAAATCGGTCCAGAGTTTCGCTCGTGCTGAACCAGGGCCTTCGAAAACTAAACGAAAACCGAGCTGTGTAGCTGTTTTTCAGAAGCGACCTAGCCACAAACGGTCTCTCAGCAAAGTGGCTCATCATCACGTGGACATGTTAGCAGCAGCCAAATACTCTTGGTTCTTTCGGTAAAGTCACGTAAAAGGGAAATAATAAAATAAAATAAATAAAACAATAATATTCTCACGACGTTTCGATTGCAACACAAGCAATCATCATCAGGTGTGAAAACCACAGCAAGAAAATTTGAAAAAAGTGGGGCTTTTATTATTTTATTATTTTTCTTCTACGTGACTTTACCAAAAGAACCAAGAATATGAATCCCTGCAGTCACGAAAGCTTTAAATCGAAGCAGCCAAATACTCTAAACGTTTAATGTCGATTCTAAATGTGGAAGGAAAAACTGGAGGACCCGGAGAAAAATCCACGCGACCATGGGGAGAGAGAGACACGTAAACTCCAAATATACAGCAGGCGTCAGGGTTGGGATCGTATCCACAACCTCCTGCGTACCAGACGAGGTAGTTAACGTCTCCTAGCCACCGTGGCAGCGATTGTTCTGTGGAGTCTATCTGCAGAACAATCGCCGTTGACTTCCCCCCCGGAGTTTTGCCAATTTTATCGACCCCAGACAGAGGGAGTGATGATGGGCTGAGTCCACCCCCCACCAGTCGGGGTAGTTAACATCTCCCAGCAGCGCGGCGCCTGAAACGATGCAGTCCCTGAGAAGGAGGAGGGTGCCGTGTGGCTGGCGGGACGAGTGCCGCGTTACCACCCGAGTGGTTTGGAGAGACGGGACGGTGGTGTGGAGTCGGCTCGTTGGCCGCGGGGGGGGGGCTGGGGGGGTCGTGCCGCGTGGCGTTGCAGCGGCCTCGCGGGGTTGCGCCACGGAGAGCGCACCGACCATCCGGCGCTCGCCGATTCGCTCCAGCTACCGATTCCGGCGCTCAGTCTCCTCCCCCGGTGGGCAGACGTCCTCTGGGACGCGGCGCGTTCCTTGGCTACCACTCCGTGCTTGGTGTTGACCACCGGCCGTCGTGTGCCTCGTGGCCGTTACTGCTGCTGCTGCCCAAGCAAACGCTCTTAACAATGAACCTTCCCCATGATGATGAGTGTGGCGTTGATGATGCTGCTGATCTGCTGATCATGCTGATGATGATGTACCTGCTGCTGATGCTGATGATGATGCTGATGATGACGTGCGCTCAAGAGTTGGGTGAGAACCCGTGCCTCTTTGTGGTAATGGTGATGACGAATGTAGCTTTGATGATGATGCAGGTCTGTTAGTAATGCGTCTGATGATGATGCTGATGAGGTGTGCACATAAACTGTGTGAGGACCCGTCTCTTCGTGGTCATGATATTGACTGTAATGTTGATGATCATGCTGCTGTTAATGCTGATAATGATGATGTTGATGCTGATGATGCTGATGGTGATGATGCTGATGGCGATGTGCGTGCAGGAGCTGTGCGATGACCCGCGTCTCTTCGTCGATGGCATCAGCGCCCACGACCTGCACCAGGGCTCCCTGGGGAACTGCTGGTTCGTGGCGGCCTGCTCCTGCCTCACACACAGGAAGAACCTGTGGACTACGGTAACACTCCTCCTCTACCACTCCTCCTCTACCACTCTCTCTCTCTCGTGAGTGCGGTGAATCGGCAGGTGCACTGAGCGATGGGCCCAGAGAGGTTCCCTCGAGTCTGAGCGGCTGGGCGGCCATGCTGGTGGTGGTGGCGGCGGTGTTGATGATGGTGGTGTTGGTTGTTGATGGTGGTGATGGTGGTGATAGTGATGGTGGTGCTGGTGGAGTTGCTGGTGGACGTCTCTGTTCGTTCGCAGGCTCGGATCGATGCCTCGTGTCACCTCTAACCTCCCCTCAATCCCCCCCCTCCCGTGCCCCCCCCCTCCATCCCCCACCCCCCCAGGTGATCCCCGACCACGAGGACCAGGAGTGGGACCCGGCGCACCCCGAGAAGTACGCGGGCATCTTCCACTTCCGCTTCTGGCGGTTTGGCGAGTGGGTGGACGTGGTGGTGGACGACTTGCTGCCCACGCTGGACGGGCAGCTGCTCTACTGCCACTCGAACTCGTCCAACGAGTTCTGGTCGGCGCTGCTCGAGAAGGCCTTCGCCAAGTGAGTGGACGCGTGGCGCGTGGCGCGTGCCGCGTGCCGCTCCGGGCCTGCCGCGAGTCTGCGTGGCGCGCGGCCGCGGTGAGACCTCGAAGGGGGCCACAGGGGGGGGGGGTGCAGTCTCATTTGCAAGAGCGAGTGGCTGGGTGCGTGGGTGTGTGTGTGGTTGGGCGAGTGGGTGGGTGCGTGGGTGGGTGGGTGACTTGGGTGGGTGGGTGACGTGGGTGGGTGGGTGACTTGGGTGGGTGGGTGACTTGGGTGGGTGGGCAGGTGATTTGGGTGCGTGGGCGGGTGACTTGGGTGGGTGGGCGGGTGACTTGGGTGGGTGGGCGGGTGACTTGGGTGGGTGGGCGGGTGACTTGGGTGGGTGGGCGGGTGACTTGGGTGGGTGGGCGGGTGACTTGGGTGGGTGGGCGGGTGACTTGGGTGGGTGGGCAGGTGACTTGGGTGGGTGACTTGGGTGGGTGGGGTGGGTAGGTGGATGGGTGGGTGAGTGGATGGGTGGGTGAGTGGGTGGGTGAGTGGGTGGGTGGGTGGATGGGTGGGTGGGTGGGTGGATGGGTGGGTGGGTGGGTGAGTGGATGGGTGGGTGGGTGGGTGAGTGGATGGGTGGGTGGGTGAGTGGATGGGTGGGTGGGTGAGTGGATGGGTGGGTGGGTGAGTGGGTGGGTGGGTGGGTGAGTGGGTGGGTGGGTGAGTGGGTGGGTGGGTGGGTGAGTGGATGGGTGGGTGGGTGGGTGAGTGGATGGGTGAGTGGATGGGTGGGTGAGTGGATGGGTGGGTGGGTGGTGAGTGGGTGGGTGGGTGAGTGGGTGGGTGGGTGAGTGGGTGGGTAGGTGGGTGGGTGGGTAGGTGGGTGGGTGAGTGGGTAGGTGGGTGGGTGAGTGGGTAGGTGGGTGGGTGAGTGGGTAGGTGGGTGGGTGAGTGGGTAGGTGGGTGGGTGAGTGGGTAGGTGGGTGGGTAAGTGGGTGGGTGAGTGGGTGGGTGGATGACTGATTGGTTGTGTGGGTGGGTGAGTGGGTGACTGATTGAAGGGAATTCGAGGGGCCTGTGTGGATAGAAGGGAACTCAGGGGAGCAGTTTGGCTATAGGGTAACTGGTGGGGTAGCTGTGTGTGTGTGTGTGTAAGGGGACTGGGTGGCTGTGTGTGTGTGCAGGCTGTGTGTGTGTGTGTGCAGGCTGTGTGTGTGTGTGTGTAAGGGGACTGGGTGGCTGTGTGTGTGTGTGTGCTGTGTGTGTGTACAGGCTGTGTGTGTGTGTGTGTGCAGGCTGTGTGTGTGTGTGTGCAGGCTGTGTGTGTGGAGGCTGTGTGTGCAGGCTGTGTGTAGGCTGTGTGTGTGCAGGCTGTGTGTGTGTAGGCTGTGTGTGTGCTGTGTGTGTACATGCTGTGTGTGTGTGCAGGCTGTGTGTGTGTGCAGGCTGTGTGTGTGTGCAGGCTGTGTGTAGGCTGTGTGTAGGCTGTGTGTGTGTGTGTAGGCTGTGTGTGTGTGTGTAGGCTGTGTGTGTGTGTACAGGCTGTGTGTGTGTGTGTGTGCAGGCTGTGTGTGTGTAGGCTGTGTGTAGGCTGTGTGTGTGTGTGTGTGTAGGCTGTGTGTGTGTGTGTAGGCTGTGTGTGTGTGTGCAGGCTGTGTGTGTGTGTGTGCAGGCTGTGTGTGTGTGTGTAGGCTGTGTGTAGGCTGTGTGTGTGTGTGTGTAGGCTGTGTGTGTGTGTGTGTAGGCTGTGTGTGTGCTGTGTGTGTGTGCAGGCTGTGTGTGTGTGTGCAGGCAGTGTGTGTGTGCAGGCAGTGTGTGTGTGCAGGCTGTGTGTGTGTGTGTATGCTGTGTGTGTACATGCTGTGTGTGTGTGTACAGGCTGTGTGTGTGTGTGCTGTGTGTCTGTGTGCAGGCTGTGTGGCTGCTACGAGGCTCTGGACGGGGGCAACACGGGCGACGCGCTCATGGACTTCACGGGGGGCGTCTCGGAGTCGGTGGACCTGCTGGAAGGGGCCTTCTCGCAGCAAGACGACGAGAGGGACAAGTTCTTCAACATGCTGCTCAAGGCATACAGCCGCGGGGCGCTGCTCAGCGGATCCATACGGGTCAGCCACTGCCACCATCGCCACCAATACCACCATCACTACCATCATCACCACCACCGCCACCATCACCACCGCCACCACCACCGCCACCACCACTACCATCATCACCACCACCACCACTACCATCATCACCACCACCACCACCGCCGCCACCACCGCCATCATCACCACCACTGCTACCATCACCACCACGAACGCCATCACCGCCACCATCGCCACCAATACCACCATCATCACCACCACCATCACCACTGCTACCATCACCACCACGAATGCCGCCACCACCGCCATCATGACCGCCACCTCCACCGCCACCACCACCACAGTTCGTACACAGACAACGATCTCCCTGTGTTACCTGTTGTGGCAAGTGCTGTTAGCGAGTAACGCCAATGAAGGCCGGCACGGCACACAAGGGGGTGGTTTGGCCAGCACCACGTCCAGCCACCTTTGTTTTCCCAATGCCAATGTTTACACGTGGCACCAAGTACTCGTGTAACGCTGAGCCGACCTAAGGGAGGCCCAGGACTGGTTCAGATATCCTCCATTGTAATTGGTCAAACTCGGGGTCGGCTCAGCTCGGGGTCGTAGCGCAGCACTACCGCACTGCTCCATACACACACGCATACACAGTCTCAACACACACCACACCCACCACAACTACACACCCACCATAACCGTTCCCCGTGTTGTTACCATGACGACCGCAGCCTGGATGTAGGGCCACGTTAACAGTGTAACCTTGGTGCTACCATAATAACCAATCGTGCTACCGTAGGCTCTGGGTTCCACAGAGATGGAGGCACGCCTGTGCTGCGGCCTAGCGAAGGGCTTGATTAAGTGTCACCTTGGTATTACCATGGTAACCATGGTGTTACAGTGGTAACCGTGGTGTTACCTTGGTAACCATGGTGTTACAGTGGTAACCGTGGTGTTCCCGTGGTAACCATGGTGTTACAGTGGTAACCGTGGTGTTCTCATGGTAACCATGGTGTTAGTGGTAACCATGGTGTTACCGTGGTAACCGTGGTGTAACTATAGGCCGTGGGCTCGGCGGAGATGGAGGCGCGCCTGGGCTGCGGCCTGGTGAAGGGCCACGCGTACTCGGTGACGGACGTGCGCCGCGTGCGGCTAGGCCAAGGCCTGGTCGCGTTCTTCCGCGCGGAGCGCCTCAACATGATCCGCATGCGCAACCCCTGGGGACAGAAGGAGTGGAACGGGGCCTGGAGCGACGGGTGAGCACGCGCCTCACCAACACTCACCTGTCCAGATATTGACCTGTCCAGACACTGACCTGTATCAAGACCATCATGTCCAGATCCTCGTCTGTATAGACACCCGTCCAGACACTCGCCGGTAGAGACGCTCACCCGTCCAGACGCTCGCCTGTTTACGCGTGTTTGCAGCTCCGAGGAGTGGAAGAAGGTGAGCAAGGGAGAGCGTGAAGACATGGGCGTCACCGTAGCAGACGATGGGGAGTTCTGGTGAGCGCCACTCAACACAGACCCCCCCCCCGACTCGCACGCACACCCCACAGACTGGACTATAAGCTATTTGTATTTTACCCGGTGTAAGGCCCGCTGAGCTACGTAGCTCTTTTTCAGAAGCGACCTGGCAATCACACATGAAAGCTCAACGAAGTGGCTGATATCGTGATCATGTGCAAGTTTATAGTCGCGGCCATACACTCTAAACGCATGATGTTGATTCTAAATGTGGAGGGGAAAACCGGAGCGCCCGGAGAAAAATCCATGCGACCACAGGGAGAGAAAGAGAGGCATGCAAACTCCAAATATACAGCAGCAGGCGTCAGGGTTGGGATTGAACCCACAGCCTCCTGTATACCAGGCAAAGTAGCCACCGCGGCAACCCTACATGAAAACAACAAAGAGCTGCCGTTCACCACGAAGTGGCGGTGATATCACCAAGGCACGTGGACCATGCTAGGTGCACGTGAAGTGCCAAAGGCTCGTTAACAGGGGTCACGGGACAGACCCGGGTGCCATGGGTTGACTGACTGAGATGATTGGCATATGCACCACCTGTGCCCCTTACTGTACCACCTCGCAGTATTTTAGCCACCAGGTGCCCTGCTCGTTGTTGTGAGCGTCGCTCCTCTGCCCTCCGTTGTTGTTGGAGGGCAACTGCCTCCAACTGCCCAGTAGCGTCCTTCACGAGCCTCCTCCATAGAAGCCGATCTTGACACTGCTGCTACTGGTCATCGGCAAATACAGTCAGCTTCACATCCTCCTGTACCGCATCGGTCCATCTCTTCTGCTGAGGAATGCGGTGGCTGGGCATGCGGGCTACGTGACCCAGCCAATGTAATCTCACTTGACTTAGATGAAAACCTCTACTATGCACGTACACATGCACTCACTATCAACACTCAGACACACACAAAAGACAAAGTTCCCCTATATAGCCTGAACAGACTTTTGAGGCAAGTGCTGTTAGTGAATTGCACCTATGAAGGCCGGCACGGCACATGAAGGAGTGGGTGGTCAGCACCATGCCCGACCGCCTTTGTCTACCTAGTGACGTTGTTTACACACTGCACCAGGTACTCATTTTGAGGCTGAGTCGACCTAAGGGAGGCCCAGGACCGGTTCAGATAATCGTCACTGGTGTTGGCCGTGAGCGGGAATCGAACTCTGGTCGCCGAGTTCGTAGTGCAGCTTAGCGCTAACCGTGTGCTGCTGCTCCCCACACATACACACACACACACGTGCACATAACACATAGCACACACACACACACGTGCACATAACACATAGCACACACACACACACGTGCACATAACACATAGCACACACACACACACGTGCACATAACACATAGCACACACACACACACACACGTGCACATAACACATAGCACACACACACACACACGTGCACATAACACATAGCACACACACACACACGTGCACATAACACATAGCACACACACACACGTGCACATAACACATAGCACACACACACACACACGTGCACATAACACATAGCACACACACACACACACGTGCACATAACACATAGCACACACACACACACACGTGCACATAACACATAGCACACACACACACGTGCACATAACACATAGCACACACACACACGTGCACATAACACATAGCACACACACACACACACGTGCACATAACACATAGCACACACACACACACGTGCACATAACACATAGCACACACACGTGCACATAACACATAGCACACACACGTGCACATAACACATAACACATAGCACACACACGTGCACATAACACATAGCACACACACACACACGTGCACATAACACATAGCACACACACACACACACGTGCACATAACACATAGCACACACACACACACACACGTGCACATAACACATAGCACACACACACACACGTGCACATAACACATAGCACACACACGTGCACATAACACATAGCACACACACGTGCACATAACACATAACACATAGCACACACACGTGCACATAACACATAGCACACACACACACACGTGCACATAACACATAGCACACACACGTGCACATAACACATAGCACACACACGTGCACATAACACATAACACATAGCACACACACGTGCACATAGCACACACACACACACGTGCACATAACACATAGCATACACACACACGCACGTGCACATAACACATAGCATACACACACACACACGTGCACATAACACATAGCACACACACACACACGTGCACATAACACATAGCACACAACACACACACACGTGCACATAACACATAGCACACACACACACACACGTGCACATAACACATAGCACACACACACACACACGTGCACATAACACATAGCACACACACACGTGCACATAACACATAGCACACACACACACACGTGCACATAACACATAGCACACACACACACACGTGCACATAACACATAGCACACACACACACACACGTGCACATAACACATAGCACACACACACGTGCACATAACACATAGCACACACACGTGCACATAACACATAGCACACACACACACACGTGCACATAACACATAGCACACACACACGTGCACATAACACATAGCACACACACACACAGATATTGCTGTTAGCGAGCGCCTCCACAGGCACACGAGGATGGGCAGCACCTTACCCAGCCACCTTTGTCTCTCGAGTGACGATGTTTACACATTGCACCAGACATTAATTTAAGGCTGAGACGACCTAGGAGAGGCCCAGAATTGATTAGGAAAAATCGTCACCAGTGTTGGCCATGAGCGGGAATCTAACTCGGTTCATTGGATTCATAGCACAATGAGATCACCGTTACGTTTCCACTCCTCACGTACTACTGCTACACACATACCACACAAAGAAAAAGATCGCCCCTATAGCCTGAACAGACTGTTGTGGCAAGTGCTGTTAGTGGTCACATACCACACACAACAACAACTCGCACGCACTGAAACACCATACCAGCACATACCACACAAGCGCACACAAGACAAAGATCCCCCCTATAGCACACAACATCAACAACAGCTGCCATTTGCCACTAAGTGACGGTGATGTCACCACAGAGCTTGTGGCTAGGTGCACGTTGAGGTCACGTGAAGTGCCGTGTCGTTTGTTGTTGTGACTCGCTGACCCCTACTGGACATTTGTGAGAAAGAGCTTCATAGCTCATCCGATTCCTCCTGCCGAGAGACCCAAATAATACTTTGGTACAGCCATGGAAAGCTTTTCAAACTACGTGATCAATAAAGGTGGCTAAAGGACATCCCTGTCGCACCCCAGGGTGAACAGGGAATGGCTTTGACTCCTTCATGATTGTGAGCAGAGAGTCAGGGACTCTTAAAGCACGAAGAACAACCCAGAGCCCTGGCCTATTGATGGTATCATAGGCCTTGAACAGGTCAATAAATCAGAGATGTCGGTCCCATGGAAATTGCCCACATCTGCTGTAGCAGACGGAGAGAGAATATGGCGTCTGTGCAGAACCACCCTGGCCTAAAACCACACTGGGGCTTCGGAAGCCTCTCCTCACCGTGCCTGACAAGGCAATGTTGCATAATCCTAGCCGGGACCTTTCCCGGCCTTACACTGAGGAGGGAAATGCCCTTGTAGTTGTTACAGTCTGTGCGGTCCCCCTTCATGAAGAGGGGGACAACCAGGGCATCCTTCCAATCCTGCGGAACTTGTCCTGTGCTCCAGACTTATTATGATGTCATATCGGGTCGTCTGCACACAAACGCCTTCCTCCCTCAGCAGTTCACATGGGAGATCATCTCTGCCTGTCGCTTTTCCTGGACTTGTACTTCCTCAATAGGTGGCACCTCAGCCAGCCACTAACAGGGTGGCTACGTCTTCCAGTATTTGAGGCACGGCAGCCCCAGCAGGGTCATATCCCCACCTTGCCCCATGATGATGTCTGGACTGAGGGATGTATCCTCCTCCCAAGACGTCGCAGATAGACTCTGCAAACCAGCACACCTGTTCCTGGGCATCCGAGACCGGATAACCCTTCTCTCCCTTCAGGATGGTGATGGGTGTAGTGCTGCAAGTGACAAGGTTAGTTTAGTTTCATCTTTTCTGCGTGGTTATTTAGTGATTTGGTGGAGGGGTCACCAGCCCCTCGCACCGTTCCAGAGCCCCTGTTGGTCACTGCAGCGACTGCGAGCTGATTGGTATCGGCCTCACCCCCCCCCCCCCCCCCCCCCCATGTCATTGCCCACCGCCACCACCGCAACATTACCGACCGGCAACCCACGGAGACTATGGGGGGTTTTTGCTTGTAAAAAAAACGACGATCCCCTGTAGAGCATGAATAGACTGTTGGGGCAAGTGCTTTTAGCGAGCACATATGAAGGCCGGCACGGCACATGAGGAGAGTGGTTGGCCAGCACCACGCCCGGCAGCCTTTGTCTTCCCAGTGACAATGTTTACACACTGCACCAAGTACTCATTGGAGGTTTATTTGCTCTATGGGAGGCCAAGGAACGGTTCAGATAATCGTCACTAGTGTTAGCAGAGAGCAGAAATTAAACTCTCACTCCGAATCAGTCGAGCGGCATTGTATTTTCATCGGTTGCATAACGCTGTGTGGAAGCTACCTGGTCTGTCGCTCCACAGGAAGCTTCAGGTCTTCTCGGCTACAGTCATTCCCTCCCTTCTCTACGCTTGCGAAACGTTGACCCCCCTAATGGAACATCTTCGCCAGTTAGAAACATTTAGGCTAGCCTGCCTACAATCCATCCTGGGTTTAATCAAGCTGGATTGTGTGAGAAGTCCCATCGGTGAGCTCTTCCGGCAGGCGAGGCTGCGTTGGCTGGGTCATGTAGCCCGCATGCCCAGCCACCGCATGCCTAAACAGCTTTTGTTCGGCCAGATAGAGGGTCTAAACGGGCGTGGTATGGGCTAGAGAAGAGATGGAGTGATGTGTTACAAGAGGATGTGGGGCTGAGTGGACTTGCTGATGACTGGTACCAGCGGTGTCAAGATCGGCCTCTGTGGAGGAGGCTCATGAAGGACGCAACTGGGCAGTTGGAGGCAGTCGCCCTCCACAACAACGGAGGGCAGAGCAGCGATGCTCACAACAACGGGCGGAGCGCTGGGTGGCTAAAGCACAGCAAGCTGGCACAGTTGGGCGCACAGGTGGTATATCAGCCAGTCATCTCGGTCAATCGACTCATGGCACCTGGGTCTGCCCCATAACCTGCCAGCGGGCGTTCTACACTTCACGTGGCCTTAACGTGCACATGGCCTGGCACAAGCGCTGTGGTGACGTCACCGCCACTTAGTGGCGAATGGCGGTGATTGTTGTTGGTAGCGGTTGTGGTGGTGATGGTGTGGGGAGCAGTAGTGTAGCGGTTAACACGCTGCTGCGCTACGAACCCAGCGACCCAAGTTCGATTCCCGCTCACAACCAACACCACCAGTGACGATTATCTGAACTGGTCCTGCGCCTCCTCTAGGTCGACTCAGCCTCAATGAGTACTTGGTGTGGTGTGTAAACAAAGCCACTGGGGAGACAAAGGCGGCCGGGCGTGGTGCGGGCCACCCACCCCCTCTTGTGCCGTACCAGCCTTCATAGGTGCTCGCTAACAGGACTTGCCCCAACATTCTGTTAAGGCTATACGGGGAATCTTTGTCTTTGGTGGTGATGGTGGTTTCCTGTGGTTTCAGGATGACGTTTGAAGACTGGTGCAAGTACTTTACAGACGTGGTGGTGTGCAGGTGAGTTCCTGATGTGAGTGAAGCACTGCGCGTGAGGGTAGGGTGAGTTGTAGGCGGCAGGTGAATGTATTTGACTGGCTGAGTGCAGGTGAGGGCTAGGGTGTTGGTGGAGGTGCAGTGTCGTAGGTCTCTTCTTCTTCTCTCCCTTCTCGAGGCGTGTGCGGGAGGCGTGCGGTGCACACACTCAGTCCGAGACGAGGCAGTCGTAGGAGACACCGTCTTTATTAGGTTCACACCACCAACTCCCCCCCTCTCTCACGACCACGCTGCCGTACGACCCAGACACGACCCTGCTCGCGTTGCACCGACAGCGTCGACCGAGACGAGTCCACTCTCAGAACCGGCAGCCCGGAGCTCTCACTCTCCGCTGCTTTTATTCCCCTCGGCACGGCTTGGCTCCGCCCTGGCCACGCTTGGCTCCGCCCTGGCCCCGCTTGGCTCCGCCATAACCACGCCTCCTCCCTTCTCGAACCCTCCAGAGGGTTCCAGGGGCCTCCCCACAAGGTCTACCGTGACCCTTGCCCAAGTTCCTCCGCCCTTCCGGCACACACACCGTGTGTATGCTCAACGGCGTGTGCGCTAAGTGTCCACCTGCAGTTGCTGTACAGCAGTCAGCGCTGTGTCACTACAGAGGTATGGTGAGGGTAAGCTGCAAGTAGGGTGAGTGTAGGGTGTGGGTGAGTGTAGGGTGACTGTATGGTGCGGGTAAGTGTAGGGTGAGCGTGAGTGTTATTGGGCCACTCCAAGAGATACATTACTCTGTGGCCTGACCTCAACACCGGTGGTACCAGACATCGATGAGTCCACTCCACATCCTCCCGTACTGCATCAGCTCCATCTCTTCTCTAGCCCAACTCTATGTGGCCAAAGAGAAGCTGCTTGTGCAGCTGGGGACCCGGCCAACGCAGCCCCGACCCCCCACGCACTGGAACGCCTCTCCCTGCAGGATCATCAACACGTCGTATTTCACCTTGCACAAGACCTGGGAGGAGGTGACGCTCAAGTCGGCCTGGGTGACCGATGAGAACCCCCTCAAGAACCGTGCCGGGGGCTGCATCAACAACCGCAGCACGGCGCTGCAGAACCCACAGGCACAACCGCACACCCACACACGCAATCGCACGCACACACACAACTGCACACCCACCCAAACACACAACTGCACACACACCCACCCACACAACCGCATACACCCCACACAACCGCACATCCACACACAACTGCATACCCCCCCCCCCCATACATATAACCACACACCCACCCACACAACCGCACACACCCGCCAAACTATATTGTGGGGGGTGTGCGGTCGTGTGGGTGATGCCTGTGATGTGTGTGATGCATGTGACGTGTGTTGGGGTGTGTGACGCGTGTTGGTGTGTGTGTGACGCGTGTTGGTGTGTGTGACACGTGTTGGTGTGTGTGATGCGTGTTCTGTGTGTGACGCGTGTTTGTGTGTGTGCCGCGTGTTGGCGCAGTTTGTGTTTGACGTGTGCAAGGCGGAGGACATGGTGCTCGTGTGCCTGCAGCAGGAGGACCGGCGCGAGCAGCGCACGTCCGGGCGCAGCGGAGAGAACCTCGCCATCGGCTTCGACATCTACAGGGTGACGCTAGCAGGGGGAGCACGGGGGAGCAGGGGAGAGCACGGGGGAGCGGGGGGGAGCACGGGGGAGCGGGGGGTAGCACGGGGGAGCCGGGGGGAGCACGGGGGAGCAGGGGGGAGCAGGGGGGAGCAGGGGGGAGCAGGGGGAGCGCGGGGGAGCACGGGGGAGCACGGGGGAGCAGGGGGGTTCACGAGGGAGCAGGGCGGAGCGGAGAGGTGCACGGGGGAATAGGGGGGAGCAGGGGGGTGCACGGGGGAGCCGGGAGGAGCACGGTGGAGCACGGGGGTGCACGGGGGAGCACGGGGGAGCAGGGGGGTGCACGGGGGAGCAGGGGGGAGCACGGGAGGTAGCGCCTGGTTTAATGGGCGCCTGGTTCAATCCCCCAATACCAATCGCCACGAAGTGGCGGTGACGTCACCACGAAGTGGCGGTGACGTCACCACGAAGTGGCGGTGACGTCACCACGCCGCCTGTGCCAGGCCAGGTGGAGTTTGAGGCCACGTGAAGTGTCGAAGGCTCGCTGACGGGGAAGGTCACGGGACAGACCCAGCAGGTGGTGGCGTGGGTTGAATGCTGTGACAGGCTAGGTGCAGGAGGCGGTCAGGTGACAGACCCAAGTGCCATGGGTTGACTGAGACTTGCCCACCATCCAAACCAGCCTCAGCCCACGTTTCTGGGGAGGGGGGCCGGGCCTAAACAGAAAGAGGCGGAGCAGAATCAGACTATGTATTTAGACTGCAGGAGCTCGTATTCACCCAACGCCCCCCCCCACATCCCTCCCCCATCCCCCCCCCCCCCCCCGCTGGCTGCGTGCAACAGGTGGAGCGCAATCGTGAGTTCCGCATGCACGCGTTGCAGCAGGAGAAGGTGGCGAGCTCCGTGTACATCAACTCGCGCAGCGTGGTGCTGCGCCAGGAGCTGGCGATGGGCCGCTACGTCGCCGTGGCCACCACCTTCGAGCCGCGCCAGCAGGGCCGCCTGCTGCTGCGCGTCTTCACCGACGTCGCGTCGCGTTGCAGGTGCCCGCACGCACGTAGCACGACCAATGCCTTGCGGGAAACGGTGGTTTTCTCTTGTTGTTGTGGCTTTGGTGGTGGAGGTGGTGATGGTGGCAGTGATGGTGGTGGTGGCAGTGGGGGATCTTTGTTTGGTGGTGGCGGTGGTGGTGATGGTGGCGATGATGGTGGTGGTGGCGATGATGGTGGCGGTGGTGGTGGGGATCTTTATTTGGCGGTGGCAGTATTGGCGGTGATTGCGGGTCTGCTGCTGCTGCACGGGGCCCCTGTAATCATCCAGCGCTGTGGAGGCCGTACTCCTGGTTCACCAGGAGGAGGCAGTGCAGTAAAGTGTGGAATAATCTCCATCTGTGCCATCTGTACGTGAGGGATAGAGTGTTGCCCCCTCTCCGGGTGCTCCGGTTTCTTCCTCCGACGCGGTGCAATCAACACGACTCGTCAGTAATCGAGGCCGAAAACACCTTAATGAATAAACACGCAATGTAGCAGCAGCAATGTAGCAGCAGCAGCATCATCACGACCTTCGTGAAATACGCCTCTCCAGAATAAATAAAGGATAATACCGCTCCTGGGCCTAGCCTAGGTCGTCGCCTGGTGCGGTGTGTAAACATCGTCACTGGGGAGACAAAGGCGGCCAGGCGTGGTGCTGGCCACCCACCCCCTCGTGCGACGTGCCGGCCTTCATCGGTGCTACTCGCTAACAGCACTTGCCCCAGCAGTCTGTTAAGGCTACGAGTGTGCGAGTGTTCAGTGCCCCGCGTCTCGTCCTCGCTGCTGTGCTGTCGTTAGCGCCGATTGTCCCCCCCCCCCCCCCCCCCCCCCCAGGGAGTTGGTGGTGGACGTGCCACCGCACACGTGCTGGAGCGGCATCGTGGGCTACCCCAGCCTCGTCACCAGCCTGCACCTGATCAGCGCCTCCGGGCTGCCCCCAGGTGTGACGACCCCCCTCCCCTGTAGTGACCCCCGTCGTGACCCCCCCCCCCCATCTTGACCTTGTTACACGATTTTGTATTTTATCAGTAGAGCCCACTGAGCTCATCGCTAGCTCTTTTCCAGGAGCAACCTGGCCATCACGTGGAAATGTATCGCTGCCAAACCGATATCACTCTAAACGCGTGACGTTGATTGCAAATATACAACAGGCTTCAGGGTGGGGATCGAACCCACCAGGCGAAGTAGTTAACATCTGCTGCTGCCTGCTGCTGTTGCTCCTGCCGCTACTGCTGCCTGCTGCTACTGCTGCCTCGGCTGCTGTTGCTAGCTGCTGCTCCAGCTGCTGCTACTGCTGCTACTACTGCTGCTACTACTGCTGCTGCTGCTGCTACTGCTGCTGCTACTGCTGTTGCTAGCTGCTGCTGCTATTACTGCTGCTGCTGCTACTTGCTGCTGCTGCTTGCTGCTGCTACTACTGCTGCTACTACTGCTGCTGCTGCTACTGCTACTTGCTGCTGCTTGCTGCTGCTACTGCTGCTGCTTGCTGCTGCTGCTTGCTGCTGCTACTGCTGCTTGCTGCTGCTGCTACTGCTGCTTGCTGCTACTGCTGCTTGCTGCTACTGCTGCTTGCTGCTGCTGCTACTGCTGCTTGCTGCTGCTGCTAGCTGCTGCTTGCTGCTGCTGCTAGCTGCTGCTAATACTGCTGCAACTGCTATTGCTGCTGCTACTGCTGCTTGCTGCTGCTGCTGCTTGCAGCTCGCTGCTGCTGCTACTGCTGCTAATACTGCTGCAACTGCTATTGCTGCAGCTACTGCTGCATGTGATCCCAATGGAGTAATTTACGGGGTTTATTTATCAACGTCAGGGATGTTTTGGGCTGAAAGATAAGAAAGTGACGCAATGCGAATTGGTGGTTCTCTGTGGGTCTGCATGTGAAGTGTTACGGGTCCTCCTGTCCAGGAACAACCTGAGTGAGTGGCGAGGCCTCGTGCTGCTTGGCCAGCACTCTCGGCATCGTGTGTGTGGAGCAAACCCCACGCACGACAGGGGGAGATCATACAAACTCCACTAACTCACTCTAACTGTAGAACAGGGGGAGATCATACAAACTATACTCACTCACTGCAGAACAGGGGGAGATCATATAAACTCCACTTACTCACTCTCACTCTGTAGAACAGGGGGAGATCATACAAACTCCACTCACTCACTCTGTATAACAGGGGGAGATCATACAAACTCCACTCACTCACTCTGTATAACAGGGGGAGATCATACAAACTCCACTCACTCACTCTGTATAACAGGGGGAGATCATACAAACTCCACTCACTCACTCTGTATAACAGGGGGAGATCATACAAACTCCACTCACTCACTCTGTATAACAGGGGGAGATCATACAAACTCCACTCACTCACTCTGTAGGACAGGGGGAGATCATACAAACTCCACTCACTCACTCTGTAGAACAGGGGGAGATCATACAAACTCCACTCACTCACTCTGTAGGACAGGGGGAGATCATACTAACTCCACTCACTCACTCTGTAGAACAGGGGGAGATCATACAAACTCCACTCACTCACTCTGCAGGACAGGGGGAGATCATACAAACTCCACTCACTCACTCTGTAGAACAGGGGGAGATCATACAAACTCCACTCACTCACTCTGTAGGACAGGGGGAGATCATACAAACTCCACTCACTCACTCTGTAGAACAGGGGGAGATCATACAAACTCCACTCACTCACTCTGCAGGACAGGGGGAGATCATACAAACTCCACTCACTCACTCTGTAGAACAGGGGGAGATCATACAAACTCCACTCACTCACTCTGTAGGACAGGGGGAGATCATACAAACTCCACTCACTCACTCTGTAGAACAGGGGGAGATCATACAAACTCCACTCACTCACTCTGCAGGACAGGGGGAGATCATACAAACTCCACTCACTCACTCTGTAGAACAGGGGGAGATCATATGAACTACACTCACTCACTCTGTATAACAGGGGGAGATCATACAAACTCCACTCACTCGCTCTGTAGAACAGGGGGAGATCATATGAACTACACTCACTCACTCTGTATAACAGGGGGAGATCATATGAACTACACTCACTCACTCTGCAGGACAGGGGGAGATCATATGAACTACACTCACTCACTCTGTATAACAGGGGGAGATCATATGAACTACACTCACTCACTCTGCAGGACAGGGGGAGATCATATGAACTACACTCACTCACTCTGTAGAACAGGGGGAGATCATATCAACTCCACTCACTCACTCTGTAGAACAGGGGGAGATCATATGAACTACACTCACTCACTCTCCAGGACAGGGGGAGATCATACAAACTCCACTCACTCACTCTGCAGAACAGGGGGAGATGATATGAACTACACTCACTCACTCTGCAGAACAGGGGGAGATGATATGAACTCCACTCACTCACTCTGTAGAACAGGGGGAGATCATATGAACTCCACTCACTCACTCTGCAGAACAGGGGGAGATGATATGAACTCCACTCACTCACTCTGTAGAACAGGGGGAGATGATATGAACTCCACTCACTCACTCTGCAGAACAGGGGGAGATGATATGAACTCCACTCACTCACTCTGCAGAACAGGGGGAGATGATATGAACTACACTCACTCACTCTGCAGAACAGGGGGAGATCATATGAACTCCACTCACTCACTCTGCAGAACAGGGGGAGATCATATGAACTCCACTCACTCACTCTGCAGAACAGGGGGAGATGATATGAACTCCACTCACTCACTCTGTAGAACAGGGGGAGATGATATGAACTCCACTCACTCACTCTGCAGAACAGGGGGAGATCATATGAACTCCACTCACTCACTCTGTAGAACAGGGGGAGATGATATGAACTCCACTCACTCACTCTGCAGAACAGGGGGAGATGATATGAACTACACTCACTCACTCTGCAGAACAGGGGGAGATCATATGAACTCCACTCACTCACTCTGCAGAACAGGGGGAGATCATATGAACTCCACTCACTCACTCTGTAGAACAGGGGGAGATGATATGAACTCCACTCACTCACTCTGCAGAACAGGGGGAGATCATATGAACTACACTCACTCATTTTTCGATTTAAAGCTTTCGTAACTGCAGGGATTCATCTTCTTGGTTCTTTCGGTAAAGTCACGTAGAAGGGAAGTAATAAAATAATAAAAATAAAACATAATATAACAATTCTCACGACGTTTCGGCCACAACGCAAGCAGCCGTCCTTGCGTTGTGGCCGAAACGTCGTGAGAATTGTTTTATTATGTTTTATTTTTATTATTTTATTACTTCCCTTCTACACTCACTCACTCTGCAGGACAGGGGGAGATGATACGAACTCCACTCACTGTAGAACTGGGGGGGGGGTGGGGGGTGAGAGAGGAAGCACACAAATCCAGGGCCTTGTTGCCGCGCGTCACGAGCGTTCACCGTGCGGCCGCTCCCGGCCTCGCGGTTGCTCCGCCGTGGCTCACGGGGCCACGGCCCCTCCGCCTCGCCGCAGGCTCCAGCCCCTACGCCGTGATCCGGAACGAAGGCACCAAGGTGCGGAGCCGGCCCCACGCCGACACGCAGGAGCCCGCCCTGGACACCAAGGCGCTGTTCTACCGGCGCAAGCCCGACCAGCCCATCGTGATCGAGGTGCGCCGGGCTGAGAATTGGCGTGAGGATCGCCGTGAGAATCGGCGTGAGAATGGCCGTCGGTGGCTCTCGCGAGTGTGAGAATCGCCGTGAGAATGGCCGTCGGTGGCTCTCACGAGCGTGAGAATCGGCGTGAGAATCGCCGTCGGTGGCTCTCGCGAGCGTGAGAATCGCCGTGAGAATCGCCGTCGGTGGCTCTCGCGAGTGTGAGAATCGCCGTGAGAATGGCCGTCGGTGGCTCTCGCGAGTGTGAGAATCGCCGTGAGAATCACCGTCGGTGGCTCTCGCGAGCGTGAGAATCGCCGTGAGAATCGCCGTCGGTGGCTCTCGCGAGCGTGAGAATCGCGGTGCTGTTTGTGGGGAGCGGCGGCGTAGCGGTTTGGCACGCGATGGACCCCGGCGACCCGGGTTCGATTCCCGCTCACGGGCAACGGCCGTGACGATTCTCTCAACCGGTCCTCGGGCCCTCTCCCCTAGGTCGACTCGGCCTCGAACGAGTACCCGGTGCGGCGTGTAAACATCGCCACTGGGGAGACAAAGGCGGCCGGGCGTGGTGCTGGCCACCCGCCCCCTCGTTGCGCGGTGCCGGCCTTCGTAGGCGCCGCCACTCGCAGCACTTGCCCCGACAGCCTGTTGAGGCTACACGGGGGACGTTTGTCTTGTGTGCGTGTGCTCGCAGCTGTGGAACAAGAGCTGCGTGTGCTCCGAGTTCATCGGCAAGGTGTCCGTGCCGGCCACGCTGGGCGACCTCAAGAGCAGCCACAGCATGAGGCTGCAGGGCAGCGACGGCGGCGGCAGCAGCGACCGCGGCAGCGTCCTCATCAGCGTCAACTCCAGCGACGACCTCGTGGCCATCTGAGCCGCGTGGGGTCACGAAGGGTCACGCGAACGTAGAGCCCCCCCCCCCACCACTAACTGCCCCCATTCCTCCCCCTTTCCCACCATCCCCATTCCCTTCCCCACCGCCCCCCTTCCTCACCACCCCCCCTTCTCCACCATGCCCCCCTTCCTCACCGGCACCCCCTTCCCCGCAATGTCCGATCACAAACGAGGGGGGCCGGACGCCCCCCTCGTTTTGTGCTCCGTGTGAACAAAGCCTCCAGCATATTTCTGTAATGTTTTTTACATCGTCTCTTCTTGTTTACCACAACATCCCGCCGGCCGTACCCGACAGGCCCTCGCTGTGGGGGGCAGCGCGTCGCTTGGGTCAGCGTGCTCGGCGTCGCGCCGGTGGTGAGTGCCAGCGAGGCACCTTCCTGGCCGGCCCCGGTCGCCCGCAGCGGCCGTGTTGTTGGGCCGCGAGGTCGGCGTCCGTGCGGGGAAGGCCGACGCGCTGCCCTCTTTGGGCCGCATCGTCAAAACCGCGGCTTTCCCCTGCGAGTTTTTTTTGTTTGTTACATTACCGCTAGATTTGTTGTTACGACCAACTCGTTTTTATTCTATCTGGTAAGGCTCCAGCGAGCTACGCTCAGCTCACTGTCTCGTAATCGACGCGGCCGTCGCCAATGATGGCTGCTCGAACGTAGCGGCGCATCTTTCGCCGCGCGGGAAATTAACAGCAGCAGCACCAAATACGCGACGTCAACTCTAAACGTGGAGGGAGAACCCGGAGGACCCGGAGGAAAAATCCACGCGACCACGGGGAGGGAGACGCGCAAGCTCCAAATATACAGCAGCAGGCATCGTCAGGGTCGGGATCGAACCCACGACCTCCTGTATACCAGGCGAGGTAGTTAACATCTCCTAGCCTCTTCCCCCCTCTTGCTTGAGTGTGGTCGCGATGGCGGTGAAGTTGGCATGAGCAGCGCAGTGGGAATGGGAACGTGGAGGTGGCCCTGTGGAGCCCGTTCCTCCTCCTGCTGCAGCAGCAGCAGCAGCAGCCCACGTTCACTGACTTTCTCTGACACTCTCACACTCAGGCT